CTGCTTGCCCACAGGGTCCTTGAGGAGGCGTCTGCCAGCCAAGCTGCCAGCAAGAAGGAGACTCGCATGGAGTCATCAGGCAAGAACAAGTCGTATGATGTGCGCATCGAGAACTTCGATGTGTCCTTCGGTGAGCGGTGAGTGCGGGTGGGGAGGTGGGACAGATCCTGGCTGGGATTGAGACTGGATGGGAGAGTGGTTGAGAAATTACAGAGGGTGTGGGAAAGATCAGAAAGCAAGCTGGGCACTTGACCCTGTCAGCTTTGGGCAAGAGAAGCCTATGGTGGTTGCCTGGCTCCAGCACAGCCTAAAACATGCTGAGGGCAGGTTGTTGCCGGTTCTCTCCCTCTCCGTGGGGCAGTCTGACCGTTCTCTTGCTTTAGTGTCCTGCTGGCAGGAGCAGACCTGAACCTGGCGTTTGGACGGCGCTATGGGCTGGTGGGCAGGAACGGGCTGGGGAAGACCACGCTGCTGAAGATGATCGCCAGCCGGAGCCTGCGCATCCCTTCGCACATCAGCATCCTCCACGTGGAGCAGGAGGTGGCCGGGGACGAGACGCCGGCACTGCAGAGCGTGCTGGAGTGTGACACTACTCGTGAGAGCCTGCTGCGGGAGGAGAGGGATCTGACAGCTAAGATTAGCGGTGGCAGGTGAGACGTTGCCACTGGATTTCCAGCTCTTCTGTGGCTTCTTGAGCACAAGGTCTCATTCTGAGGTCTCTCCCTTCAAATGAAAGGCTCTGGCAGGGCTGACCTTAGTCCTGCTTGGAGAGATCAGCCTCCCCCAACACTTGAACCTTGGTCAGACCTACACGCTCCTTTTTGTCTTGCCTCAGGGGAGAAGGGACAGAAGGTGCCAGGCTGTCGGAGATCTATGTGAAGCTGGAGGAGATTGAGGCAGACAAGGCCCCAGCGAGGTGAGACAGCCCTGTGGGACTGCTCTTTGTTGGCATGGCCAGAGGTGGGCAGAGGTTTGGGGTGTGGAAGAGTGATGCTCTGGCCCTGGGATCCAGCGTGTGGGCACAAGGGGCTCTCCCTACTGCTCTTGTCTCTTATTCTGTCACAGCTCTGCTGGGTTAGGAGTAATCAAGCTTCCCCATGAAGCTGGAGGGATTATTTTTGCCCTTAATGGCTTGCATTAGTGCTTCTGCTGCTCTCAGACCTCCCCAGGTTCCTGGTGTCTGGGGAAAGTCTCTGAGATGTTGGTAGTAGTGACTCTTTTTTCCTGGCCAAAGAGCTGAAAGCTTCTTGTAAATCTCCTGGGATTTCATGTGGATTCTGTGCCCTGTTAGCCTGCATTTCTCAGCCGAATGCTGCTTTTGGGTGTCCAGGAAGTTTTTGTGCGCCAGAACAGTTTTAAACCACACAGCAGAGTCCCCTTGATGGCTGTGGGTCCAAGACCTTGGGGCATGCTCTTCCATTAGATGCTGTAGATGGATTCCAGTTCTCTTCCCTTTTCCCCAGGGCATCTGTCATTCTCGCTGGCTTGGGCTTTAATGCACAGATGCAACAACAGACAACCAAGTAAGTCTCTGAGGTCTGGGCATCCAGACAGAAATGGATGGGGGGGAGATGATGTTCCTTGCCAGTCCCCCGGCACTGCTGAGGCTGTACAGGAGGGGGAGCTCTGTGGGAGAGCGAGGATCAATTCCTGCCCATCCGATGTGGTCTCCTGCCCTGGGGGTCCCAAGCCACCCACCTGCTGGATCTTGTGCTGTGCCCCAGATCTCTGCTGGGAGGAGCTGGCTCTGGGTAACAGCAGAGCCAAAAGGGATGCAGGGGAGCAGGCAGGCAAACACAGAGTTTTTCTGCATTAACCAGTAACCCCTCTCTGCAACCCCTTCTCTCCTCAGAGAGTTTTCCGGAGGCTGGAGAATGAGACTGGCCTTAGCCAGAGCCCTGTTTGCCAGGTTGGTGTCCAGCCCTTCATGCCATGGGGTTAACTCTTCCTGCTGTCCGTGCTGCGAGGTGCAGGGCTGCTGCCTGCGGGTCCTTTTGCCTCAGGCTCTCGGGGTGGGGAGCGTTGGAGGCAGTGCAGCTCTGCCCATGTGGTGAAACGCTCTGTGTGCTGACCCTGTCCTCTTTTTGCTTCTGATACCCGCGTCTTGTTTTCCCTAGGCCAGATCTCCTTCTGCTGGACGGTAAGTTGACACCGCAAGTCCCCTCTGACACCGCTGCTGAGCCTGCCTGTGCCCGTGCCCTTGCTGGGGTTGGGAACCCACCGTGGCCTTTAGCTGCCTGCTCAAAATAGCCCTGTGTGACGGGGCTGGGCTGGCAGGGCTGCTCACGCTCCCCTGACAGTGCGGGCAGAGCTGGTGGTGCTTCAGGGTAATCTAGCGGCTGCCCCTGCGCTCAGCAGAGCTCTGCCCCGTGTCCTGGCTGGGGGGGTCTGCATGTCGTCCGCCCCAAGATGTCCCTGTCCCTCACCTGTCCCCATGATGCTCCCTGGCTGCCAGCCCGCTTCAAAGGGAGTCCCTTCAGCTGGGTGTATCAGTGTCTGAGTACCGGTTTGGAGTTCGAGAAGCCCTCTGTGCCCACACCCCATCTCACCCTACATGCGTGAGTCTCCTGAGCTTGGGGGCAAAGGTTGCTACGCAGAGCCTCGTCCTCCACGACACTGATTGCTGGCCTTTCCTGTGTAAAAATTCCAGCCATCTTC